AGAGAGAGAGAGGGGGGGGAGGGGCGAGAAAATGAGAGAGATGGACGGAGACTTCGTCTCCTACCTCTCTTGTTCCTTTCCCGCCCTTCGATCACTCTTCCGTCTTTCTCTTTCTCGTTCGCGACTGCGGCGGGAGAGCACAGATGTACGAGCCGAGGTACGAGATAGACGCGAAGAAGAGAGCAGAAGTGCCTGTGCGAGACCTCCGGTACGCGACGTGCGCGTACACGCGTGTGTGAGTGCGCGCGAGCGTTTTTTCAACGAGATTTATTACCGAACTCTTAATGCTCCGGGACAAGAGGAAGGGGCCGGCGTCCTTTCCCCGCTTCCACTTACTCCTGCCGCCGCCGCCGCCGCCGCCGCCACCGCCGCCACCGCCGCCGCCACCGTCGTCATCGACGACGTCGTCGTCGCCGCGCCGTGTCGACAGTACTTCGTACCTTCTCCTGCCGTGCTTCCGCGCGTCTCCGCGCGTCGCTTAATCCCCAGCTGCCACGCTATTACGATTTGATTTACATTCTCGTGCTAACAAGGGTTGGGATAGGGACCGAAGGCTGAATTCGGTGGCTCTCTCGATAGGTCGCGGAAACCGGCGGACTGGACTGTCCCAGATGACGACATTGCATCGATCCAGCACAATCTTCGAATCTGACGAACGATAGCATCGATCATTTTTTTTTCCTAGAAATTCCGATTTCCGATAAATCTGTAATCGTTTTTGCGATTGCTAATCACTGTCCGTGTTAATGAAAAATTCAACTAGTATCACGCGAAATAATTCAAACTAACGGCGACTCCCGGCATGTTTAATTCGTCATAGAAAAAATTCAGTAATGTAGTTGGGTAGTCGTTAGATTTTAGAAGCGACAAGGAGATCTTGTACATAGGCTCGAGCAATAAACGTCTACGTCTATGAAATTTATGGCTACAAACGGCGTCATAAGCGCGAAATAAATCATTATTAAGTAAATCGTATTACTGTTTGTAAATTCCACTCTTAACCAGCCTAACTTTAATGAGATCATTATAAAGGGATTATATAATTGCGACACGACGTGCGTTTTACGCGCCGGAGCGCGCTGTAACCGTGGCGATCGCGCGAGGAGCCGGTCTCCAGGGAGATCAAGATATTCGATCAACGTTCGATCGGAAAGATAAAAATCCAAGCGGAGAAACACGAGGCTGCACTTTGTGCGGCTAAATGTTATGGGAAGCGGGAAGTCGGTTAAGTAGAAGCCGCTGCATCACTGTCAGACGGGGGAACGTTCCTACTGAATCATTTTACATGTGGGATATCAAAGAGCATCGGCACAATGAACGCGAAATATATTTGTTTCGCAAATGATGTATCTGTATTCATTTGTAAACTTAATAATTTTAGAAATGCTTGGGAAGATTCTAAAAAAAGAAAAAACAATAATAAAACTTTCAGGAAGATTTATAAGCAGACAGGAATTCTTTAATGTGCTGTGTCTAATAGTAATTTAACGCGTTCACTTAGCGAATAATTCAACAAGTGGAAATTGAAATACTTAAAAAAACGAAATTAAAGTTTTTGCAAAAAGAAGATGGAATTTTTTATTACGCTCGCGTAAGTATAATAATGTTATGATTATTATCGACAAAATGATTAATACCGCCCTCGTATTAGTACAATATAATTTTCATCTTACCTCATAATTGTTCTCGTTGAGTAGTTATCCAAAGTTATCAAAACTTTCGCGAATGAGTTACCACGTCACTTTTACACGTCGTTTTTCTCATCTGCGTTACACTCGGCATTTCTACCGAATATCTTTCGAATAATCGGATGGTACGTCGATGGTACGCGTGTCGTTCCGAAGAAATCGCGGACGGCCGGACGTACGAGAAGACGCGAACGGGTGAGACGAATCGGGAAAGACTCGCGAGAAGGATTGAGGAAG